TATAAAAAGGTATACTGACAAAGTAATACAGTTTTACCAAATGTAATACAATTACCTTTATACAGCTTTATACAATTGCTTGTATACCTCTGTATACAAACTTACTGTCGATGTTTTTTCACCCGGGTATTGAGATATTTCTAAGGTGATGTACTGATATTGTCTGCGACAATGGTTGTTTCTTTGAAATAGCGCAGAGATTTCTGCTGTGGCAGGTAAACATTGTAAGCGCCATTGGATGCTATGCACCACCCTGACCCACAACACGCGCGAGTCGGTTGGGTTGCCTTTCCTTCCACTGCCAGACTGAATCTATCGCCTCCGCGAAATTCGGCGGGTTATTTTGTAACTGTAAATAACATTCAATAATTAATTTACCCTAGCATGTAACATTTGCCCCCCCCCCCCTTCCCCTCTCCCCCGCTCGATTTAAAACTCTTCAAACCGGCCAGCATGACGGCGTGCCCTGTCATAGGTGAGGGTCCGCACTCAGCCCAAAGAGCTCTTTGACTCAGCCCCACTCGACGCCCTGCCGCTGCGCGAGGAGCGCCCGAGTCGGTGGCCTAGGTATATACGTCGTTGTTCACGCGTCGTGACCCGAGCGGCTCGCACATCCGCCTTTGTTGCGGGCCGCGATACCACTGTCGTGTAGATCCGTCTCTTTGTTTTTCATCAATTTGAAGGCTTTAGAATTTTTTTTCGATTTTTCGGTGACTACAGCGAGAAAGTATGGTTCTTAATTGATAGTATAGTGTAAAAATCTCAAAATCGCCAAAATGTTGGTTACGGCGTTTTTGAGCGACCGCTTTCTGATCCGTCGTTGTTCAGCGACCGCTTTCTGATCCGTCGTTGTTCAGCGACCGCTTTCTGATCCGTCGTTGTTCAGCGACCGCTTTCTGATCCGCCTTTGTTGCACGGATGCGTCGTCATGTCCTCGTTTCTCTTTCCTCTCCTCTGCTTTCCTCTCCTCTGCTTTCTCTCCTCTGCTCTCCTCTCTCCACTCCTCCAGTGGTCGCTCGCCGCTCTCCCCTGCCGCGCTCTCTCCCGCGAGACAGCCTTACTAGATTTGTATTTGTGTCCTTGAGCAGGTTCCCTGGTTCCCTGGCCTGGGCCCGGGCGAACTCCTCTGCGGAGTCCTGCAGTAAGTGAAGTTATGCGGCCATGTACGGTAAATATAATTATTCTAACGAGAATTTTTGGAAAGAAACAAAAACACGAAAAAAAAATAACAAATAATAACGGTCTGCGTCGTCCCTGCACGACATTGTGTCGCACCCAATTATTCTGCCGCAGCGGTGCGTCGCCGCCGTTTAATTTCACGGCTCCGGCGTCCATTAAAACGCGACATCATGCAGGGTCCAGCAGGTCATCATCCTGCGCCGGGCTCGGCCGCGCCGCGCGGCCCCCGCCCCGCGACCGATCGGAAAAGAGTTTGTCACAACACGGCAGCCATTTAATGCAGTTTGTTATTTCCAGTCCCCCCCTTTATTTGTTTTCGTCCCGTGCGGCGCGACTCGCGCCGTCGCGTCGTTGGTGAGATCGGCGGCGGCGGCGAGGGACGTCGAACGGGGGACGGGGGGGAGTGGAACTTGTCTAGCTCCGGTCGCTTCACCGCGCGCCGCGGGCCCGCGGGCGGGAGTGCGCGGCCTGCAGGGCTGGGAGGGGTACACAGAGAACTTTGCCTGTCGAGTCTCCGGGGAAATCTGAGCTGCCCGAGGGTGGGTACGCCGGGCGTGGTGGGGCGTGGCGGCCAG